ATAAAGGTGTCTTCCAACGCATGTATTGGATCGGTCTGTTTATATGTTATGTAAGGGCCTCAGAACTTTCTCTATGTTAAAGGAGAAGAGCGACAAGTTATTTTTTGTTAGGATTTTTTAGACGCTGTGGGGTGGTTTTTTGAGTATAAGGGTGTCTTCCGACGCATGTATCGAATCGGTCTCTTTTGCATGTCGTGTGAGGGCTTTGGAACTTTCTCCATGCCGAAGGAAAAGAGCGACAAGTCATTTTTAGCTTGGCTAGAATGGTTTAAGTGATTTTGGGGGTGGTTTTTCGGGTATAAGGGTGTCTTCCGACGCATGTATCGAATCGGTCTCTTTTGTACTTTGTTTGTGGGTCTCAAAACTTTCTCCCTGCAAAAGGACAAGAGCGACAAATCATTTTTAAAAAATCGTTCCAGGAACGTTCCAAACTTCAACCAGCTACGAGGCAAAAATTACACATACTGTAATAGATCTTGTAGATCAATATTTTTTTGTATATATATTTTACTTAATAAGAAAAATGTTGTTTTCATTAAATATTAAAATTAGCAAATATATCAGAACTCAGTCGTTTCTAACATCGTTCGGTGAACAGGCTCTTAAATTCAATAAATCAATTATTTCTACTAAATAAATTTCGAATATGACTCAATTACGTATGTGCATTTCTTTATTTTGATTTTAATTATTACATCAAATATATACAAATACTAATTATATAACATCGGTAAATGTATACAAATATTAATTATATAACATCGGTAAATTATTAAAACATAACATATTGGGTGACGTTATCGTTCTCGTTGACCTTCTTCCGAAACATTTCTTATACCAATAAAAATGCTTGTACTTTATTTATTTATTCTCCTTTTTGTGAGAATGTTAATTATTACCTAACAATTAAAAAAAAATTTTTTTTGTTTTTATTAATACCAATAAATTGAATTCGATTTAGATGTCGGTAATTTGATCAAATTCTTCGTTTATTTGTTTTCATTGAGCAAGGAATCGACGATGCACAAAACAGAAGTTAATAATGACAATTCGTACGATTGTATATCAGTTAAATAAACTGCAACAACTAAACGACTTGTCTAACGGTTGTAAATTAATTTATGCACATTTTGAAATTTTCTTTTTTTAGGATCCTTCTTCACACATGTCGATAGTCTCTTGAATATTGTTTTTTAAATGAGTAGTTTTCCGGAAGACAATAATGCTGCCGGCAATAATAATCCTGACCATCTTTATCTTTGTGACACCACGTTCCATCGGGAAAATATGGGAACAAAATGTACGGGTAACGTTCAAAATCGAACATTATTTCACGTACTAGGTAGTAAGTACTTGTGTTCTTTAGTAGGCAGAATATAGTGCAGGCTATCCATGGTTTCTCGACATCATGAGAGGCCTGCTTCCATGAGGATTCTATCCGATTTTCTAATTGGATTGTTGGACCTCTGAACCTTTCCATAGCTTTGCTCAATGTCCAGCACATTTTTAGAGCAAACTGATAAATTGTTTGGCTGGTGAAAAAATTACAGCTGAAATCATTGCACATAACAACATCATAATACGGTCCTTTGCAATTCGCCGTTCTTTTATTCCTGTGTACGCAAAATCGTCGTCTGATTTGCACGCCTTTAGATTTCTCGATGCAACTGCTTTTACAGGGGCCTACTTCCCATTCACTCCATTTATCCTTTCTATAATAATTAAAATATATGGCGGTTCTTGAACGGGCACGCATTTTCCACCCCGGCATTCTTTCCTGGGTGCGCAATAAGTTCCTGAAAAAAAGTATATTAAATACATTAAACTAAAAAGTATGTGAGAAATCAGCAATAAAAAGCGTACCATCCAACGGCGCTCCAATGCGATTATATGATGTCTTATCGTTGGACGTACTAGGCACCTCGCATTCTAAAGTATCACATATATCATGCAACGTGACTACGTTTGCATTATGGTCACGAAAATGTAATTCGCATTGTGCTTTTGCGGTCCATTCTCTTCCGGGTAAATCATGATAACGCAAATGATAGAATGCATATGCGTCATCGAGGTTTATCGATCTCGCCTGATTTCTAAGACACTTTTCGTCGAGTTCTTCAATTTGGTTACGACTACATTCTGACCATGTTGCTTGGCCTCGTTTTAGCCAGTTATTGCCCATCAAGTATTTGTCCTTATTACATTTCCCATCTATCTCTACATCGTGATGTGCTCCTAAACTTTGAAACAAATAAATAATTGATTTTTACAATATATTTACTTCTTATCGTTATTTTGAAATACTCTGATATAAACAAACTAATAATAAAAATATCAAATAATAAAAAATAATAAAAAAATCAAATCTCTAAAAAAAAATGTTTTTATTTTTTATCAAATATAATATAATAATAGCTGCAATTATTGGTGAGAAATAATTTATTTTTCACTTAGAAACTTAATTGTCTACACTGAAACATTCTAATGTACACCGATTCCAAATTTAGATAATTCGAGTGTACGAAAATTAAATACATTAATTTCACAACAAATAATCAGAATTGCTAATAATAATTTCTTTTAATAATTTCCTACTTAATTCATACATTCTAATTCTTCGTTATGAAATCAATGTATCTAGTTTTCAAACACTCGAAGTATCTCAATCTGACGTCGGTATATATTTTGAATTCTCAATATAAACGAATAAATTTCTATATAAAAAATAAATTATTTCACACCAATAACCGCGACGACTTTGTAGCCATTATTATAATTAATAGATTACCATACGAGCCTTTCTTTTAATCTCTAACTTTAAATATATACATATATTGTTACGACCAAATAAATTCTTATAAAAAATAGTGTTTATAAATAATATATACGTAAAATAAGTATATATAAACTTACACATGAGCAATTTCATGTGTGTGAGCAGCAATGCGAGCTGCTGCAAAGCCAGAATGTACTGCTCTAGGTACAGCACCGAATTTTGCTATCGCGCAAGACGACCAGTTCTTGCACAATCTTCCTATATAGGCAAGTCCTTCAATTCCACCATTACCTTGTCTTATAAACGAAAAATCTAATCCGCTTATATAAAGACCAAGGTCCCAATGACGCTTTTTCCTAAGACTGAGAGTCGCGTAATTGCAGAACGATTGGAGTATTTCCGAAGCAGTAAATATTTTTTTTTTCTCAAAGTCGTAAACTGGCAAACTTTTCGGTTGTTCTTGCATAATTTCTAAATGTACCAACCAAATATCGATGGAAACACCCAAACTCGGATGATGGAACAAAAGTTGGATTTGATTCACGTATGCAAATATCAGATTGCGTAACTTTTTATAATGGAAACGTAAAAAATATTTGTTCTTATCAGTGGCTGATTTGTCGAAGAAAACGGCCAATTCTACGATTAATTTCTGTTGCGTATTTCGTACATAACGTTGCTTCGATTTGAAATTGTCGAAATGATAAAGACTTGAATTAGCAAAATATTGCAGTGATCTTTTAATAAGGTGAGGTTTTCCGAATGAAAGATTAATTTGTTCTTGAACGTAAATATCGTCGAGTAATGACAAAGACGCAAGGTCGTTCCGCAAAGGTTTAATCTCAAAGTTGTCGTTCTTCAGAAAAACGAGTCCTTCCTACATTAAAAAAATATTTATTTGTTTTTTGCGTCTCATGTTTATGTATAAAACAAGAAACAATAAAGGTTAAAAGTAAAAATTTTAAGACAATTCGTCTTTTACATGATACTACCGACCAATCCATATTCGTCACAGAAGTTGATGATCGCTGAACTGACATGATCCCTGTGAATATATGTACATATAAACAAGGATCCGATCAGTGATGCAAACTCGAGCCGGCCAGCGATTCTCGCTTGTGTGCATGCTTCCCCTACCACGGAGCCCTGGTGCTGGCCGGCTCGAGTTCGCATCACTGGATCCGATGCTTTCAACTTGTCATTTAAATGACATTTCCATACTTCATACTCAGGCAATACAATACGATCGTTTTTATGCAAGTTTAGTTGAATCAATTGTCCGAAAGCTTTTAGAGTCAATGATATCTATAAATGGATAACAATTAAGAAAATACTTGGTGATTATGGGATAATGTTTTAAACAGTAAACAATAAAGCAGCACAATAAAACGTACGTACCTCTTTTGCGCCCGTCGGGTTCCGTGCTGGCAGCAGTATTGTTTCAGTATCTTGCGTGATATATGCATACGTTTCATTTAGTAAGGTTATTAACACTAATTTTAGTATAAAAAACATTTTACTTTTTGTGTTTTCCGATTTTAAATTATATATTAAATAATTTATACAGACACGTTAGAATACTCTCATGTTCGTCGTATCTCATAAGATCGCGTACCAAACACGTACTGGCATCTGTATTTAGGAATATGTTTCGTGTCGTTTGACTTTTGTTGTATATTCCTTCTTTGCTATATGTGTATGTATAAATATTATTTTGGAAACCCAAATTTGAAAAGAGAGAGTGGTGCTTACGATATCAATATAGATTTGGAAATTGAAATTTATTTTGCTAATATGTATAGTATGTAATATGATTGGGGAAAACGTGTAAATCCGAGAGAATGTAAAAATTAACAACAGAGAAATCACAATTCTAAATAAATTGAAAACCAATTGATTAATTTGAGATCTCGGGATGTTCTGAGAAATCACATAATTTTTCTTAGAAGCGGGGTATGGCTCGCACTTTTAATTCACGCTCGATTCGCACAATGGCACCGCTCGTCGGGCCTTATTAGAATCTGTATAATTGACGCATGATTGACGTGTGATTGATGTATACTTATGTGTATATTTTCCGTATGGGAATATGTTGAATTCAGATTTCAATTCCAAACAAACGTGATTTGAATTAAAAATTTTTTTTGTTTATTTTAATAGCTTAAAGAAACATAAAAAAACTGATAAAACTAACTGATTACAATGCAGTTGACACTATTGTGTTCAGCGTGAGGTATATGAATTTAAATTTAAAAAATACAAAGGCTGTGTTTAATTTTTTTTTTAAATTTAAATACATGTAATATAACTTTTAATCAAATTCGGTTTATTAATGCATCTGATAAGATATTATAATAAAGAGCTACTGCAAAATCTGCAAAAGTGGTATACATTTTTACTAATGTGATTCTTTATCTCAGAACTAAAAAGGAACTTTCGAATAGGAGCTTATACACAGAGTAAAGCGACTTTCCCAACATTGATCCATTGTTAAGCCTAGTAACTTGTTCGAATCATATGTTGCAGATTTCTGGAGTTCTCGGTTTAGAATGTGTAACGGTGCATTGAACAAAAATCTCATTTCACGTTATTTTAAATACACATATTATCCTTTTTGGTCCATCGTCCGCATTTATAAAAAAATGTAGATCCTTATTGCCAATAAACTTCTATTAAATTAACACAAAACACATTCATCTGTTCAACGGGATAGTTTTAATATTGCTTTGTTGTCAATCTCTAATGTACAGTATAATGTTTTCGCGTGGTAATGTTGACACAACAATATACGATTGTATCAAGAGAAATTTTAATTTCAAAATTTTAATTAACTAATTTTATTAAGTGATAACAATGCTACACCTGTTAGACATTTTGCACTCCATTCAATAATAATAATTTTACATTTGTTAAGCAATTTTTAATTAATCCAATTGTTAAACGTATCAAAAATCACAAAAAAAATATTTCCATCTGCTATAAGAGTATATTACAATAAGAAAAAAAAGAGAGCAGAGAGAGAGAGAGAGAGAGAGACAATAAGGGTAGAAATATATAACAATAAAAAATATCTCATATCATCAACTAGCCATAAATTCTTTTATCTCTCAACTTCTCTCTTTCAAATTAAAATGCTAAAAGTGCAATTATGAATTAATTATATATATGTTTCAACGTTCAACTAAAGTTCCACTAAATCAAGTCTTTTTATTTTTTATTTAAGTGATTTAACATATTACTTTTTAGTTAATTTTTGTTTAATTGTGCGTGAAAAGATAACATAGTTTTATGAATTTTTACTTAATTTAGAAAGAAAATTGTATATAAAGTTGATAAACACAATGTTAGTTTTTCCAATAGGATCAAAATCAAGATATCTAAAAATAATGGAAAAATAATGTTCTTTACAAGGAAATATAAAATATGATTAATGATGTACTTTCAAAATGCTTTTATGAACTTGTAATTATTAAAAATAATTGATTTGTAACTAAATTTTTAACATTTTTAACTGAGACAGAGAGAGAAAGAGAAAAATTGAAAAAAATGTTCATAGTTAGGTAATATATAATCCTAAACATGTTAAAAACAATAAGTATTATTATATAATAATATTTTATTTTTAAAACAATTCCTTAAAGAGTTCAAATACACTAACATATTAATAAAATAATAGTTTAGATTTAGGTTTTTTTTTTAAATGGCACATTGTGCACAATTAATATATATTAAAAAGTGATTAAAAGTAAAAGTAAATAAATGATTATGAATATCAATATATAAATAGATATTTACTCACCACAGCTGCAAAATTGTTCTCGTCTTCTAAGAATGTTTCCAATAAATCTAATTGATCTTCTGTCTTGACAGGCAGAGCTGGAGGATTTATAGGTTTTTGAAATCTCTTTTCATTCGGAAGAAGAGACCTGTTGAGCCTCCCTTGATTCATAATAATTATATCTGTCTTCTTATTAATTTCTTCTAATCGAACATATATTCTCTCACATAGCTTTTCCATTTTTGATATCTTATCTTCTTTACCAATATTAAAAAAAGAAATAAATATAATACATTTAAAAAAATTTATATTATTAAATTTTATAGGAGAACTTACCAACATCAGAATTTTCAGAAGAATTTTTAGCTAGGGAAGTAAAAAGAACGCGCTGATGAAATTTAGACTTAAGGGGACTGAAGCGTCTTGTTTGCACAGGAGAACCATGAAAAGCTACAGAGGAACCTGGAACATGCTGCATAGTATCTTTACACTTATAATTAGTCTGGCGTTTCTTATTTGGTGTTTCATTCTGTTCGCCATATGTTAAGTTCTCTTTATCTACATCCAAAGAGGAAACATAGCTTTGTGAGAGGGTATTTTCTGCAGTCACTAGTGATGTCTCCTTAATAGGTAATTGTACTATGTTCTTACGAGATAATTTTCCGTTACTGCTATGATTGGATTCATGTGTAATTAACATAGTGTGACTGACAGAAGCATTGTTACTATTGTTATTCACCTCCTGTGTCCTCTTCAGTCTCTCAAAAACACTGCTTTTTGAGCGTACCTGAACAGATGATTTTTTAAAGAATATTAAAACTTTTGAACTTACGATATAATTTCTTAAAATTAAGTTTAACATTCATTACAAATGTGTGACTCACTTTTAAAGGAGGAAAGGAAGTCACTGGAAAAAAACAATAATTGAGCTCGTTTCCAGTTTTTTGTATTATTTCCTTCCTGACCGGTACGTGTTTGAAAGGAACACTCGGCGGTGCTAGAACTGACTTCTTGCTGCAATTTACAATTTCTTCATCAGAATCAGTGTCTTCAAAGAGCCTATTTCGTACTCTTTTTCGTTTTCCTCTTCCAGTTTCTTTTTCAGTCTCATAGGCTGAACCTTATGCCACAAAACCTCTAACATCAGCTCTTGCTTTTATATAGAGATCTGAATAAAATTATATAGAAATCTGAATGAATAAATATTAGAATAGAAAAAATGAAATAAATTACAAATGTTTACATAATAATTCAAGTGACTTCAAAATTCACTTACCGTAATACCTTAAGACCTCAATTGAATACTTTGGCCAAGATCGGTCTACTACTTTTTCCTTTCTAACAAAATTGCCAGCATCTTGATCAGATGGAGGCCAATAGGTGAAACCTTTCATTTCATCATCAATATCAGTTAGTCATTTGGTAAGGCCAATCTCATAATTAATTTCTTCCTCATCACTTTTATCATCTTCGCGTGCAAACTTTAATACTGCAAACTAAATTACAAAATTAAACATTAGCAATTCTAGCTAGTTCTAAATGATATGATATAGATCAGGGCTCGGAATTATTTCATCTTTTCGGCCGATTTTCGGTATATGCCTCCTTTCCTCTTTTTACCGCGCGCGCGGCAGACGCTACGGCCAGCGCCGCCGAGCGTTAGGAGCGGCGCTATTCGATTAATGTTAAAAAAAATTTATTAAAAATATATTTTTCCTCAATAGCAATAGTACCTCATGGGTGACGTGGAAATCTATTAAAATATTTTTACATAATAAATTTAAAAATAAAAATATTTTTAATAAATTTTTTTTAACTTTTAATGATCAAGGGAGAAGAACCTAACGTTTATCGGATAGCGCCGCTCCTAACGCTCGGCAGCGTTGGCTCAAGCGGCTGCCGCGCGCGCGGTAAGAAGAGGAAAGGAGGCGTATACCACGAGAATCGGCCGAAAAGATGAAATAATTCCGAGCCCTGATATAGATAATAAAATTATGCATGCGTACTTTCATATAGGAAAATTTTGGACTGTGAAGGATGCGGTTTAAAATCATCATAGTGCTTGAAAAATTGAAAATGTATGCAACAATGGTACACGTAAAAAAGAGTCACGATCTGGTATAAGCCAACATTTAGCTTTTATTTCAGATATTGACAAAATTCTCACATTTTCACTTATCTGAGAGACAGACACGATTCCAAGAATAAATGAAGGAAGAGGATATGTATAAAAATCCTTAGTTTGTTAGAATGGTCTTCCCACTAAAAATACTACATTTTTACTGTAAACAATATCTTCAAGGAGTATTACTTCATCAGTAATTGATATAAAGCATGAATCCTTTTTCCCAGTTTGTAGGATAACATCATCTATAGAAATACGCTTATAGTGTACTCTATGCACAATTTCAGTTTGTGGTGTTTGTCTTTTAGATAATCTAATTTTTGGAGTATTGGTTTCTAATATCACTGGTACAGATACATTTCTCTCCAAATCTTTATTGACAACCTGATGTAAGAGCTTGTA